TAGAGATCCAAATCCAAACAAGAAGACCTTCAAATAAGAGTGACGAATGCAGCAAAAAGTCTACCATTCTGCCTGGCCGTGTTTGGTGTGTGCTCTTTTGGCGTTAAGCTCTGGACTGAACGTGGAGGATTCGCGGCTGGCGGCGAAATAAGCAATGTACCATGTGCGACGATGTGCCACCAGGGCCGCCCCGGGCCTTCGTGCCTCGCCCCGGCCCTCACTTCGCCTCTCTTCTTAGTGTTGTCTCATCCATCTTGACAGTGGACACGTGTGATACTCATGTTGGCAGGCTGGGAAAGGAGGAAACAGACCCATCCCTTTTCCGGACGTGAGATCCTACACAGTGTTTCCTCCTACAGTGTCTAGTAGACACCAATATCGGGGAGAAAAAGAAACCAAAGGTCCGAGAGGGGGAAAGAGGGAAAAAAAGGCTGGCACCGCTGGTATACCTATGTCTAGGACGCACTCCAAGTCCCTGGGCCGCCATCAAATCTTTGGGACACGTTAATGCTCTTGGAATTGTACACCCCACCGCTAAGCAAGCCAACAAACTACAAAGATCCCCCTCCATAGCCTCAAGGATTGGCATATCCTTCCACGCTCATGGGTAGCAGTATTGATTCTGCAATGAGTGCTGTGCTGTCCGTCCCAGTTCTTTCAGCTAAATGCCAGTGGCGCGGTGACGACAGGGCCTCGTCACACAAGTATGCCTCCACCCAAGCCGACAAGAACTGGATGTTTCTCCTTGTCTTTCGGTCACTTTTCGGCTCCCTTGCTCAAAGAGGCCTCATAATGTCGACCAGCATCTGCATGCAAAGATCTCAGTAAGTCTCCGTGATATCAATTGTGCTGCAGCTTTTTGAGGCTTGACCCCGTACGATGCGTCGATGCTCCCCGTCAGTGTAGCTTACCATGCATACCACCCAGCTCTGGCAAGGACAAGACGAAGAGATGGCTGGCAGAGGGGCCTGGTCAGAACCTTAGACAGCGACAACCGGCTGTACTCAGTTCACTGAGGAGGAAATTACCGTCAGCATGATAGCATCTGCGACGGCACTGCAGAAGGAAGTTGAGTTCTGATATGTGACACAAATGGCGCGAACCCTTCTAGGACTTACACGCATTAGCTTCGTTCTCATGAGAAAATAAGCCTCTTGAACAAGCAGATCTTGTGCGGAGCAATCCGACTTCCTCACTCTCACGTTGTGTAACTATCCCCTCTTTGCATGCCGGCTGGGTCTTACATCAAACGTAGAACAAAGCTCATCTGCATCAGGATCTATATCGTAGGCTTCCACTGGTTGGGGCCATTTCTTTCTTTTCGCCTCCAGGGTCGCCAGGGGTATGGCGCAAATGCTGTGGCAGGAAGATCCTCGCCGGGGCCAATACCATTAAGATTACCTCGCAGAAGCTTGGCCCCCGTCTGTCACTTGGTGTCCTCCTCGGAAGACACAAACGTCTCCGAGAGAGGCTTGGTTCATGGTCAACTTAGGTAGAAGACATGGATTTCTCCGAATTTCAGGGTCGCTCCCAGGCTTCCACCACACGTAGCTTGTTAGCTCATCATTATCAGGATATCTCAATTCAAAGCAGTGAGCCATATACGATATTTAGGTAGGTAAGTGAATAATTAGGTACTCGTGAATACTACTTCCTAGAGTCCATGCGCTCTTGCGACGAAGTTCAATTCCTCAGCATCCGGGCTGCCAGTCTACTGTCCCAGCCTCACGATATCCACGGATAGGCGCCAAATACCTGTGACGATCATGATCATTCTGACCGCTTTTTGTTTCACCGTAAGCCACAAAGCTAGTAAAAGTCTTTCTTCAGCTGCCGACTCTTGAGACAGTCTACTGTTGTGCAACCCCGCCGCCCCTTTCCTCAGTTCGTATCGTTCGGAACCTTCGGCGACACCAGTCAATCTATGAGCTCTAGCGGGTGAAGGGTCTTAGACAGTTTTGCCCACATGTACTTACAGTGCCCGGGATTCCGTGCCCGTAGGGCTTAATTATTAGCGCCCTTTGGGGTGTTGCTGTATGGTTGAGAATGAGCTCGTGGGTTGAGACTCTTGAAGTCTCAATGAACTATAGTAATCGGTAACTCGCGAAGTTGCGACTGTCCAAGCTGGAGTGTTATAGGCTATCATGTGGTCTCACACATGCATTGTTGTCTCTTTCTAGTGACTAGGTAGTCGCTGTCTGAAATTCAGTGTCTTGAAGCCTTAAGACAACGGCGTGACAAGGTGTCGGGTAGGGGTCGAAGAGCGCTATCGGGTCAATTTCAAGGGAAGTAGGTTTCGTTTCAAGTAAGCTATTCGCCTAATACATTGTACTGTCCATGTTGAACACATCTAAGGTTGCGTGTTGTGGCTGGATGACTCCTCAGAGATCAGATTTTGGGCAACAGAGACAGTCCGGTCGAGAAAGCTCGTGAGGGGTGTGCAGTCCAATTCTTGGGAATGCTCTAGGAATGCTTTCTTGCGTTAAGATCCACATGGAGACACCGAGTTTAGTGGACTAAGAGTGAATGCTGCTATGATGAGAACACCAGCTTCAGGGTCTCGACTGAAGCAGACACAGGCCAGCAAATCGGGGGTCCGCCGCAAACCCTCAAAACCAAACACGGGGGGCGGGCGTTCCTCCATGCTCCATACACTCCATGTAGCCGCTTCAGACCCAGCAATCATTGGTGTTCACAATGGCATGCTTCGTCCTGAGAACATCATGGAGCATACTGCCTCGGCCGGAGATATGTTGAGAAAAGAACGTTTGACGTCTCGGTGTGCTGGTTCAAGCACCTCACGCAGGTCCTTGTGCTTCTTATACAAGACTACTTTAGGTATCAGCCCAGCCCCCGGTCTCTCGACGTTTTCAAACTCAAAGGGTTCAACTAAGCTCCCGATGCGGCCCAAGAGGCCCCTCTAAAAGTTTGAACGATCCCAGGCTTGGCTCGCTGGAGTCGTCTTCCCTGAAGCGTGTAGGCCGTCAGGCCGTCAGCGACTTGGTGGAGGACAAGACTTTCGATGGGGATAAGGGCCATTCCTGTTCGAGCATTCGCTGGTAGACGAATTATTAACTTCGTGAAGAAAGTCGCCAACCCTCAACGGACGCGGGTTGAAGCTTTGGAATGGAGAACTGTCCCCCTCCCGCTCCCCCCTTTGACCCCCATTTATTTGCATTCGTAAGATGAGACCCAGAATGGCGCCAAGGCCGTGCAGTAAGTACACCGTAGATAGGATGCTATGACGGGGAAATGACGATGGATTCAAGACAGCAACTTACGGGTCTTGATCCTTTTGGATTCGATTAGTCGTGATCGCCGAATATTTCTCCGAGGCCACGTTCTCCTGGGGATACTCCCCGCGAAATCGGTAAAATCGAACATTCAATTGCCTTCGAGGCATTGTGTGCTACATATCCCCCGAGTGATGTGTATTGAGATGAAGTGAGGGCTGACGCAGATCTCGCTACGGAAGCTCTGGCTGTGTCTCATCAGTTATCTTGAATCTCGGGAGGGCTCTATCTCTACCCACATTGACGGAATAGCCCTCACAGCCTCAGCCCAACAGACACATCCATACAATAACCACCTGTTCCCGCGGTCCATAGTCTCAAATCTAGAACCTGCTAGCGCTCAAAAGCATTTTCCTATTTCGTGATAGCGACTTGGCATGGCATACGGGCGCCTCCACATTGCTTCCAGATCCTTTAACCTCCGTCCACGAGCCGACAGGTCCATCGGACCGGGGAAAGGCGACAGACCAAGACAGACCAAGACAGACGGCCTAGACTAGAAGGAGTGTAGGGCGCACAGTGCATTTTTTTTTTTTTAAAAAAAAAAGTATTCCGTGAGTGCGAAGTATGTACTCCTTGACGGTGATCAAGGACAGGTGGACGGCGGCCCCATCCTCAGACGACTCCATCCACCCTCGGCGAGAGCTCAAATCCAAATCAGCCAGGTCGCATTGGGTAGTCTGTTGCAGATTCACATGATCAAGAACGTGGTAAAAGTCTGCAGTGAAGATTATGTCTCAGGTATTCCAGAGACTGTAAACATCCGTACTTCCCCGGAGAGCACCGAGTTGGCTCAGCGCCGGGGTTCAGATTGTTTGCTCCCTGATGTGGAATCAACGGCCGGATGCTGGGTCTGCACCCTGGTATCGCCTTCATGCAGCCTATCCGCCGCAGGATCTTGAATCCTCCGCAGGCTCAACGCCCACGCACTAATCCCAGTCGCGAGGTTAACGTACGCACGAGCTCAAAGATGGTCTTGATAGGGCACAGATTTCCGGTAAATCCGGGTCAGCTTTGGATTCGTCCACGTCCTCTGGCACGTCACTTACTTCGATTTCTACGCCTGTGGTGGGCCTAAAGCCCAAAGATACGGCAGTAGGGAGCGACGCCCCCGTCAGACACAGCCTGCACAGGTGAACATGCTCGGTCAACCGCTGGATGATATATGACTACAAACAGGGATGCCGTTGCATGCCCACATTCACATTCAGCAGACAGGAAGAAGAAATGTACTCCTAAATTCTGGGAAAGACAGAGAAGCAGTGGAATATCATGGTTGGTCTTGAAGACAATGGTGTAGATCCTTGAAGCGGGGAGCCGCCAAGATAGCAAAACATCATTAAAGCGGAATGGGGAGCCGCGTTATCTCACCATACATGTATCCTTCAAAGAAGGATAGAATTCGGGCGCTTCAAGGAGACAGTTCTCATCGGTATCCTGCCTTCGGAGACGCCCACTTGTCCGACCTGTATAACTTCTCAAGCCAATCCTTTCTCAACATTATCCCGAGCAGCATCGAATCACGAGATCTGACTGTCAATTGACGGGTGGGAACACAAGCCAAGTGCGCCTTACCCTTGTCGTCGAATTTTCCCGGTCATTCGATTGAGAACTCGGTTTGCCTGTGCATCACCGGTTGATGCCACACCCAAGAGAACTACTTGCTCTTTGCGATAACTGCGGCCACACTCGACTTGATACCAGAAGATGGAGGATCGAGGAGCTCAATGGCCCGAGCACTGTGACCCATTAGTCTTTGTAAGCCATTCCTGACCCAGCTCAATAACCCTCGCAGTATTTCTGCCCATGCTACCTTCCACATAGAACCGTGAAAAGACGGTCTGAGTCAAACGAGAAGGGAGAAGAAAAATGACTAATCAGGATTCAGAACACCAAGCCTTTGAACGATGCTGGATACTCTGTTTACTCGGCACCCTATGATGGCCAATACAGAGACTCGGCAACTCATGACCACTGGCCGTATGGCACTCTTGAAAACCAGAACAATCCTCAAGGTTTTTACCAAGCCATCAATGAGCTCTACAATGTCGACGCGCCACAACATATTGGCTGGGCTACGGCTCCATCCTCCCTCGATCATGGCTCCTCGGATGGAATAGGTCAGCAAACAAGCACTCTTCCGACTAGAGTCCCATGGCCGGTCGGTCCGGTCTACACCTGCCCCGTGCAACAGAACAATGGTACTCGGCCGCAGGATAATCAACCCATCGAACGAGCGGCCTCTTTTCACGGCCAACATTTCAACCCCTATGGGCGGTTGAATCATTGGGATAATTCCAGGGAACGCGTCTCGACTACGGCAAACTCGCAAATGCCATCTCCACCGAGATCAACAACTCTATCCTACGGTTCTTCCAGTCCAGAGGATATTGTCTCGCCTCAGGAGAACCTCTTGCTCCAGAGCGGTTTCCCGTTGTCCGCCGAACGGCCACAATCAACTTCGATCAGCCCGACTTCTCGTGGCGCCGTGCCTCGTCAGCAACCTGAGAACCCTCTTCTGCCTAGTCTGCAAGGCGATAGTCGAATGAACAACAACCATCCACCGTTTCAGAAGCAGGCCAGGAAGCAGTGCTTGAACTCTCCGACAAACGAGTCCAGTTCCCTTGAGCCACCAGAACAGGCAGGAAACGCTCATCGAGTCAAATCACTTGCTGACGTCTCCTCGAAGCCTCCCCTCTACAAGGAGTCAGCGCAGACTTCGATGGAAAAAGGTAGCAATGAGGGTGGTCGAGTGTTGGAAATTGTCCCCCGGCCAAAGGACTCTGAGTCAAACATCTCTAATCAAGCACGAGAGCCAAAGTCAGCTGGTCGACGCAAACGCGTACTGACGGACGAGGATCGGCGTGCCGTGGCTGACACTCGCAAGATTGGCGCGTGTATTCGATGTCGCATGCAGCGTCTCAAGGTGAGTTGGCTATGTCCTCTTCCAAGCTTGGCATCGACGATTGCTGCAAAGAAGATGGGACCCTTGATATTGACCATGCGATGTTAGTGCGAAGTTGATACGGAAAATCGCGACGGACCCTGCTTGACTTGTGCGAAAGTCGACTTGAGTTCTTCAAAAGTCATTCATCGCCAGCCGTGCATACGAACCAAACTTGCCGATGTCGTCCTTTACAATGTCAACTACGCCGGTATCAACACGAGGCCGGGTCTTCCCGCTAACATAATCGATATCGAGAACTGGTTTGACGAAGCTGAACATGACATCCAACTTGTAACGCGAGGACTGTGTTCTGTACCGATGAATATCCGAGTTCGCAAGTTCGACAAAGATTCCATGCCGGTGGACCAAATCAGCTATTTCTGGATGAACGAAGCGAATGGCGAGGTCGAAGAGACGAAACTGGAGCCGTACGCTCTTGCTAGCGTGAGTTCGTCAAGGGAGCAGCTGGAAGCTTATATCGAGGCCAACGCGGTGAAGGGCTGGGAGGAGCAAGCCTATCGAGGTGATACCGACCAGCTCATTTCGAAACACTACAAAGTGGCATTAGAGTACTACAACGATTGTGATCAACATCCAATCGACCGGCGTCTATTGCTGAACTTGTTCAAATTCTGTTTCGCCCAGCGTAAGTGTTTTTACCTTTCCGAACCCAGGTTTCGGCACCAATTGAGTTCTTGTCAAAATAAGGTATTACATGTTCTAACAAGGGTCCTTCGCCAGGGATCATGACACGCCCTTCATGGATCTATAACAAAGATCCGAAGAGTCAAAACTGCCTAGGCATGTCACCAGCGAAAGACGAATTCCACCCTTTGATCGACAGAATTCCCACCCCGCCAACGATGACCTCGCAAATCCGCTCTCTGGCTCATGTACGACTGGTCAAGCACCACGAGCATATTCTTGAAGACCTTGAGAAACTCTGCTGCAAAAAGATTCGAACATCCTTCTTCACAGTCTATCTCGTGACGTTTATCATACTCCATGAGCTTGCTGCAACCACGGAACACCACAAGCGAAGTCCCTTCCTCTGCGCTGCAAAAGAGGTATTACGCCATTGTCTCTACAGCTTGAAGACTCTTTACTGATAAGACTACAGAAAGAAGATAGACAAGAGTCCTACCGGCAATATCTCGAAGTTGCGAAGAAGAGCGCAAACATCCTTCTACTTCATTGGCAATACTACCGACGCGCTCCCGAATCACGCTACGCTACCGACGATTTCCTCGGAGACCATGTTGCCCGATGGTTTTGGACTGGCTTGGAAGATAGCCATGAAGGATTTTGCAGACAGACATGGAGGGACATGAAGAAGGTCACGGATGATGGTGAGTGGAAATGGTGTCTATACTTACATTTCAGCTCGAATAACTCTTTGGCAGGCCGTTGTCATATGCACATGTCCCCCGGAAATCCCTTTTACTGGATATCCCAGATGTTCGATAGCGATTGGAGTCCGAAAAGCATATGGGATCGCGTGGATAATATCGTCGCCAAGCAGGAACCGCCGGCTGAGCCGGCGTTCAAACCGCGGAAAGCGACGAAACTGCGATGAATATTTGATGGGAAGGAGTTGCGCTGGTGATGATTTTGCATGGGAATACACGAGGAAGAACAAGACTAGTCGTTTCCGTGGGAGGTTACCTGCATTTGGACATGAAGCTATAATGGCATGAGTAATGACGACGACTGGACGAATAGAATCAAACCTCATGTTACCCGCCCCTGATTTAAACAAAAGTCCTATTATGTCAAGCCCTGAGCCTGAGACACTAGTGCTGGGTCTTACGAATGAGATGCCTTCTTGTGTTACTGGTTGGCTTTCTAGACTAGGCATATTCCACCACAAATGCAGCGTGCGTGACAGGCACTCATGACAATGATAGTATTCGCGCTTCTGAGGCCATTATGTCGAGATTGCCGCACGCATAATATTTGGAATCATGCTAGCATGATGTGACATTTTCATCCAAGTCTTGGGCACATGTATTCTTGCTACCCCTAACGTGCTGGCCTCATCAACCTCCAGAGATGATCGAGTAGCCGCACCCTAGCTGGTCAATCTGGTTGAACAATGAAGCAAACCTAAGCGGGCAATTGCAATGTGCTTGTCGCCCATGAGCGATTTACTCGTCACTGGTCAGTAGCCTCAGGGGCGTCTTCGGAATGATTCCCTCTAACATGAGGTCTAAGACTTACATTGAAGATATCACGAATAGCATCTATCATGTCTAACAACAGTTAGCACAGCAATATCTGTTTTGATCAAGTTACCTATGTCGATCCTCTCGGAAGTCCCGCTTCAGGTAATCCTTCCTATGTCTGCAGACATGAGGCTTCAGCCTTCAAGCCGACGCCAATAGCCCGGTTTGATCTTGGTCCGGTAGAAGTCAAAATGTTGAGGGCTTCATGCAGCGCACCTAGGGTGAAACTTATCGTGGGTCTCTCACTCGTATCCACTGGAGAGACAGTTCTCGTGCAGCTCGGCAAGCGAAGCACTGGAGATAATGCGTAAGATAAGGTACTTCGCTAGCTGTGGTAACTGTTAAAGGTATTTATAAGTTAATCAACACTCATGTTAGAGAATATCAAACAGGACAGCACGCGGCAACATTAGAACGCGGCTCTCAGACTCTTGCGGCTATCCGTGGATGCCAGAATGCGTGCCTTGTATTCCGACACATCGGTAAGTGTGCTAGCACTCCGCGAATCAGGAGGTGAGCTCCTTTCAACTCGTACTGAGAACAAAGCAGCTTTCTCGACGCGTTCTCGTTAGATTATGCTAGTAGCACGTCTCATGAGCCTCGCAGACATTTAGTCTGGCCTAGTAATCACAAACATCGTCTTAGGGAGCAAAAAGTCAAAACTATTAGCACAACCTGGTTTCGATCCAGGGACCTCTGGGTTATGAGCCCAGCGCTCTACCCCTGAGCTATTGTGCTTGAGGTAATCTGCTTGAGGGCAGATGTTCCAACCGAGCGAGGTTGGGGGTCAAGTAGCCTTGGACAAGTGTGAGTCATCGTGTGTGGATTCACACCCCACTGAATGTGTAGGACCGTTTGTTCTTAAGCCGTTGCTTTCCGAAAGAACATCACTACAGGAATATCACTTCACGGAAGAAAGCATTGAAATAGGGCGAGTATGACCTTGCGCAGAGTAGACAATATCTTTTTGGTCTAGATTGTGATATCTATGTAGCTAGTGGGCGGGCCAAAACGCCATGGTATATTCGCGGGACATGATATTCATGAAAAATGCACACAGACTTCCACTTCCTCTCACCACGCTTAACGCGTTTAGAAGAGCCAGGAAAGGAAGGTCTTGTAAAACCAACCACCCTTGCCGCCCTTGCCACCATTGGCCTCCTTCTCGGCAGCCTTGCGAGCGAGGAATTCCTCCTCCTCGCGGTCGATGATGTCCTTTCCGGTGTAGAAGTCGGCCTCGTGGGGCTTGACGCCACGGGTCTTGTAGTAGAGCTTGTGACCGAAGATGAGGATGAGGTAGAGGGGAATACCGAGGTAGCCGGTGATGAAGGTCTTGTACTTCTCCTTGCCAAAGTCACCACCAGTGAAGACGTCGTAGTTCTTGGTGAGGGCGATGATGACGCAGAGGAACAGAGCGCCGTAAGAGCCCCAGATGCCGACGGGGGCGACGTAGGGCAGGATCTCGTCGGGGATGTTCTGGGCCTTGCGGGCCCTGCACCACCAAATGTGGGTGACGAGGATGGAAATCCAGGTCAGGAGACCGAAGATGGTGGTGAGGTTGACGAAGTAGCCAAAGACAGCCTTGGAGTCATTGGAGACGTTCATGAAAGCCAGAAGGGCGAACATGGCGGAGAAACCGAGGGCGTAGATGGGGACACCACGCTTGTCGGTGCGCTTGAAGATGGCAGGGGCAGATCCGTCAGAGGCAAGACCGTAGAGGGTACGGGAGGCGATGTAGAGATCAGAGTTGGATGCAGAGAAGACGAAGATGCAGATGCAAGCGTTGATGATGTGGGGAATGACCTTGACACCAGCGAGCGTGGCAGCAACGACGAAGGGGGAGGCGGAGGCACCGGTCTGGGACTTGTTGGCGAAGGCGAGATCCGGAGAGTTGTAGGGGACGAGCATGCCGATAAGGAGAACGCTGAAACAGTAGAAGAAGAGGATACGGTAGAAGGTGAGCTTGATCGCGCGGGGGATGGTCTTGCGAGGGTTCTGAGCCTCAGCGACGGTGACACCGACAAGCTCAGTACCGAGGTAGGCGAAGGTGGCGTTGACCATGCAGGACCAGAAACCGTAGAAGCGACCGGCATCGCCAGTGTCGATGTACTCTTTGAAGGCACTTTGAGGTTGTTAGCCATGGCAATGAGTTGGTCTGAAAGGTGTAAGTGAGACATACCCAGGGTTCTTCCAGTAGCGGAATCCCTTGCGGTCGTGATCGGGGCCACCGCCCAGAGCCAGGACAAGAGAGAAGATGATGATTCCGACGATGGTGACGACCTTGAAACTGGACAGCCAGAACTCGAATTCACCGAAAAATCTGATACCAAAGTAGTTGATGCAGACAATGGCGACGAGGAAGATGGCGATGAAGACACCGGGGTTGACTTTTTCGCGGTCTACCCAGAACTGGATAACCAAAGCAGCGGCTGTCAGCTGGTTGGGCGTGACGATGATGTACTTGAACCAATAACTGGAAAGCAAAATCATAGTCAGCACATGGTGCGGAGAGAAGTGAGGTGAGATGGAGGGGTCATTGCGACTTACGTCCAGCCGAGGGCAAAACCGAGCGAGGGGTCACAGAATCTCGAGGCGTAACCAGTGAAACCAGAAGAGATGGGCAGCCAAGCAGCCATCTCACCGAGACCAGCCATGACGAGGAAGACAATGAAACCGACGAGAGTGTACGAGATGAAGACGGAGCCGGGGCCGGCCTGGGCGAGAGCCTTGCCGGTTCCGACAATGAGACCGGTACCGATGGCACCACCAATGGCAATCATGGTGATGTGGCGGGCCTTGAGACCACGGTGCAGCTTCGTGTCCTCGCTGGTCTCGAGACCGCGGATGTGAACATTCTCCTTGAGGTTGTCGTCGTAGGTCTGTGTCTGGTAGCCCGTCTTCTCGATGTCGTGGCCGCCGTGGGCGCCCTCAGAAGAGGACGCCCGCTTGACAAGGCCGTCGCTCATTGTTGCTGTGTGACGACTGAGTATATCGTACACAAGATGGGAGGAGGCTCTACTTCTGGATTTGAGCGAAGACAGAAGGAGGGGATTGACTAGTGAGAGCTCTAGGAGCGAGAGGGATGGGAGAGAAGGAAGAGGGAGAGAAGCACGACGACGTAAGGAAGGGGGGTTCGAGGTTTTTTAATTAACATTTCAGCGCCGGCTCGCGGGACCAGGGACGGAGGCGCGATAGAGAGGCTGCCGCATGTGAGGGAAGGGTATCAGTCCGTAGGTAGCAGCTCGCATCCCGTTTTGACTGACACCCGGCGGCGCCATACCAGCGGGCGAGGCAAGACAGGCAGATCAGAGCTGTCGCTCACACGTACATCCCATGTCGCTCGCAGGTTCGTGGGCTGGACCTGGCCTAGCTTGCTTGGGGGTCTTGATGGATCCTGCAAGACTGGGGCACTGGCGTCGTGCGCTAAGATACACCCGTCAAGGATCCCTGTAGGCGTCGCCGAGTGGTAGTCGGAGACGGATGGTGCTTATGGAGTTCTACGCGATTGTTTTGACTGTTGGTATTACCTTTGGATGTTGGTCGCATTATCTTTCGGTATCTCTTTTGCGTTGCGTGTACTTGCGTGCCCACAATGGAGACTACGGGGACTAAGGTACCCGCACCGCGTTCGCGGTTCTTCGCAGGCTAGGCCAAGTGATTGTGGAGAGAGAGAGAAAGAGAGACAATGGTGAGTACAGGCCATGTCTCGCAGACAGCTTCTCCATTCTCTCTGCTGAAAGCCAGTCAAGTCTCTCAGTCACGGCCCAGCAGCACCGCACTGGTCGAAAGAGGGGACTGAAGCATGAGTGAGGGGAGGCGGATTGTGGTGGAGAAGAAGCCTGTCTACCGGGGTACGAATGGGCCAGGAAACGACAGTAAGACAAGGATAGGCTGATTCTCTGGATGGAGGGGGCGCATGGCAAGGGTTCACTTGTCTTGCGGAAAGGAAGCAAAGACGAGGGCAGCACGGGCAGCTTACTTAGTTGTGGTTTGTAATATCTGTTGGCTGTGATTGGGCACTCGAAAGTTGCGTGTCCAACGCCGTTCAGCCTTGGCGAGCATCATCAGTGCAGCAAGATGGATGGGTGGCGGCGGGCAAGTTTGGAGCAGTGTGACTTGGATGTGCGGAGATAATGGGAAAGCTAGAGCTTCATCGGGGGCTACGCAGTAAGTTGAGATGAGGAGAACGAGAAGAGATACGGATACTTGGCGGTCAAAGTCAATCCTTAACGCGGAGTATCGTCAACAGCCGAGCATGAGTCGTGACTTCAAGTCAGCTGTGCCTAGAAACTGCCCAGCTGCCCAGTCCTTCGCGAAGCCAGTTCGCGCCAGTCTTACTCGCTGATAGGAAGAGTTGGGGAAAGCTTAGACGTGACAAGCAAAGGAGGATGAGCCCCGAGGTGCCTGACCAAGCGAGACGGACCCCGGCTCGAGATGGGCAACGATCGGTGGTACCAAGAAAACACCAAGACAATGGCCGAATGCGCGGGATTCCTTCAACGGCCGGACGCAGCAGGTCGAAGTGCCAAATTCCAGTTCTGCCACTTCGGTTGCAAGAAACATTTCTAGAATGACACCCGCAGAGCGAGCCAAGCCTCCAGGTGTTTCCCTCCAGCAGCTTGAGCTTTGCTCGCCCAGATTGTCAAAATTTTCACCGTAATATTAGTCGTACGGACTACGCGATGATGCTTATCTCTGGGGCAAACTCAGTTTACCCTCATCGTTCCTCTTTTTCCCGATTTATCGCCAACAGTGGGAGATCAACAGACCTTTCATCTTGATCAGGTTACAAGTCTTCCGACTGCGAGATAGGTAGTCTGTCCGCCCGGCCACTCGGTACACCTTTCTCTACCCTAAATTCTAGCACTGCGCAAGGCAGAGTGCGAGGGAGAGACACAGACGGCGTGCGAATTTGCAGACGTCAGCTGTTTCCGTCCCACAGCGTGGGTGTCCCGGACACGGATAAGGCGTACGGAGTTAGAGTACGACGACCAGGCGTGCCACAACAGGGACCACCACGACCAACACCACCACCTCGATCAGCTCTCGTCAAGTCACAGAGAGCCAAGAGATAGAAGGCTCACGCGATGGCCATCTACTCGGGCAATCTGCGGGGCACCCTCAAGCCACGATTCATACCCTCGCGCCAATCACCGCCGATGGCTCGTGCCTAGATAGGCTGTTCGCTCGCTGAATCGATCCCAAGTGTCCGTACTCAATATGTTGCTGCTGACGGGTAGAGTGGTTTTACCTTTACTACTAGCAGACTGGCAGTATTACTGGGGGAGCCTAGCGGGATCCCTCGAGTCGTCGACCCTGCAAGGGAACAAACCAGTCTTCACGAGGCACTGATAGATATCGGCGTGGCCGTCTCTGCTCAGTCTCGATGATGTGAATTTGGGTACTACTACTGCACGGGAGAATCGACCGTTCATCGCATCACTAGCAACTGACTCTCTGACAGCCCAACACCAAGTGGTGGCTGCGTCTGCCAAAAGCTTAGAATGCGCGCCAATGCGCCATCTGCCCCGTCGCGCCCGTGTCCAAGAACCCGCCGACGGCTTGTCCATCTCTTGAATCTCTTGTTGCTTCTTGGGGTCTCAACCTCCCGTAAACTACCCGTTGTTTGGCAGAGAGGATGTGGATAGAGCCGTTGAAGGAAGTCCATCCCATGATTCCCATTCACTACCCTTCACGATGTACTCCTCTATGAGTCCACAGGAACAAATGCCCAGACCAGAACAGAGTAAACGAATACGTACATGTTATGTGAACCTTTTAGGTGTTCAGCTTCACCAGCGGGTCGCCAAATAAGTCTAATCGCGACGCTGACACTAACGCTTATTGATAATATCGTCCGCGTGGGCATTCCATCTTACGTTCTAGAAACGCGCTGCGTCTTCCCACCCATCCACAACCATGAACCATCCCTCCCAGACCTCTTCCCAAGGCCCAAGGGCCCCAACCACCATCTTCCCTGCCACCCCCCCTCCATCACTTCTCCAGCCGTTGCCTTGTCCACTCAGAGCCTGGATCTATCTCCCCGCCAAGACGTTTATCTCTGGCCCAAATAAGCAGGTCCTTATCTCCTCCACATGGCCCCTGTACTCCTCTTCCCTGCCTCGAGTGGGAACTTGGGAAACTTGAGCATGGGTTTGCCCGAGCTTATCCTCGCCCTTGGCTGACTTTGGCTTAGACTACGGATGGCTTGGGGCGGTTCGGCCACCTTGCCTCGTCTTGTCAAAGTCTGCCAAAGTCAATGGCTGGAAATGTCTTGTCTTGGATAAGTCGTAAAGTTGGCAAGTTGGTTCACGTTCCCGTCTGGCAGACTCAGCATTACCTATCCGTACTGCCACTCTGCCACAAACAGAAAAATCTTGCTAGCATGTTTTGTTTCTTGGGAGCCGGGACTGGATGGCCACGCCCGCATTAGCTCCGTGAGACCCCGTCGCGTTTGCTCGGGCACTTGGCCGGATGCAAGTCCCCTGCCCACCCATTTAGTGTGCGTCGTATGAATGGCAGAGCGTGCTGTCTGTCCTGCGGGAACCATTCCCAAAGTGTCGGCAGCATCTCTCCCACATTCCAGCCCAAAGGTCCATTCTGCATTTCTCGGGACTCTCTGCGTAGTAATTACATACTAGCTGGGGCGTCTGGGCTGACTGGGAAAGGTCAACACATTTCAGCTGCATCCGTGATGCGATAATGAGACTATGTCTGTTCTTCACTTCAGCAAGAACTGGCAATGTGCTGGAATGGCGGCGCCGGGGCAGATTTGATGTCTGACTGTCATCACGCAAACGTGGGACACTCGGCCGGAACGCATACCGAAGAGGATCATCGTACTGCTTCCCTCTGATTGACGAAAACAGGTCCAACAGCGCCAGATGCGCCATTGAACTCAGACACCCACTCGCAAAGTGCACAGCCATCCTGGGGGAAGACCCCTCCAGCCTGTGGTGCTTGGCGATCAGTGCGTCTCTGACAAGTCTGGGGTCTGCCAGCAGGTAGGTATTCCCAGCTTGCCAGTCAAGAGACAGTCAACAGACAGTCACACAGTCAGCCATCAGACTATCAGACGTGATCCATCCCGTCGTCCCCCAAGGTCCCCAATCCTCCACGGTGCAGGAATACACGAGTCCCCAGGTCCCGGTCCCGGTCCCACGCGTTGGTCGAGAATGCAAGCAGCCGACTCGAGGCCGGCTCGTCGTCATCTAAAAGGACCCAACTCTTAATTCCCGACGTCTGTCCAGGCACTGCAAGATCTGGGATAGCGGGCGGGCCAGAGCAGGGATACTGACTTTGGGACCGTCGGTGAGCAAGTTGAACGGCTATTGAAAGACTGAAGTCCAAAGTCGTCCCCTCTCCACGGAGCAACTTGTGACGAATTCCCTTCCGTCACCGCGAAACGGGTCTTCCAACTACCGTCCAACCAGATGGTGCGATTCGGTGCGATGGTCCTCCGGAACGATGTGCGGGCGTCTGATATTGGTTTCTCTTCTTTTCCACCCTCCTCCCCTCCCCTCCCCTCCCCGAAGAAATCGAAACGGCCTCCGCTCTGGAGCTTCCCACTGTTCCTAGAAGCACGAAAGGTATTCGAAATCGCGCCATTCCCAACGCGCCCCTAACCCGAATATCGAGCCGGATCAGCTTTGCCAAGAGCCTCTAGATGCGGTATTTTACCCATCACTGCTCCGGCGACTCGTATGCGCACCTGGATTTGATATCTCTTCGGCCTTGGCCCGGCTAGGCGCCTCGGACAGTCTCCTAGGCCTGCTAGGCAAACCAGTCTGCCGGTGGCTTGCTCTAGTGCTTTGTGTGCCGAAATCTGCAAAACATAAGGTTGAGGCCGCCCTACTAGACTCACTAAGAAGCCGCAACGGCGAGAAGACCGCGGAGTTGCTGAAGACTCAAAGTTCCTTTATCAAAGTAAGTAATCGTTGTGGTAAACACTTGCATTCAAAGTGCCGTGATAAACAATGCTGGCATAGTCGACGACGCGAAATAGCTGTTGCATCGCATTTGAATCGATCGTCGATGCAGCCCAGCCTCTGCAGCCTGAAATAATTGCGATTCTCGGGATGCTACCCTGCCCTTCCCCTGCTCACCTATCGACGGCTACTCACGGCCGACACCTCAAAGTTTTCCTCAGTGCCTGGAGGTGCTAGGTATCCCCCTTCACTGGTGTCTTCTACGCATTTTCTAGCGTTTCCATGGCCGCCTTCGCCGAGAAATTAGTATGCTCGCCCCTGACAGCCACTCGTAAAGTTTTCAGAGAATGGAAAATGAAGTCCTTCAAACTCCCGCTGTGTGCAGTGGGCCACTTTTCCCCAGCTCTTCCACACGAATCAGTGATGCTTCAAATTGACCAGACCCCAGATGAGACTAACCAGGGCAGTAAGTGCAATATGGAAATTCCCATGTGCATTCGGTAATTCCAGACCTTCTCCAGGTATTCAACAGCTCTTGGAAAAGCTTGGGACGAACGCACAGCTGGGGAAAAGGAAGCGATGGGGTAATGGATTGGTACTATGGAGTAAATTTCTCGTAAGAGGTTGGCATTCTAGCGGAACCTCTTTTGACGCCATTCATCTCTCCCGCAGACACTCTGGCCGCCCAACGATCAGGCTTATCGTGCCATCTGTTCAAGAGAGATTCTATTACGTGAAATGGCGGGGAGACTCTCATGAGTCCGTCTCTTGGCTGTCTTGATTAACCTGGGGTATGGGGTAGCGAGGGATGGGTTCAATGGATGAACCGGAAGCCGAGGCTCTGATTCCTGACTCCTGACTCCTGAGCAATGAGGAGTCCATTCTGACAAATCCTGCGCAGAGCGTTCTGGTGTCACAGTCCTCGCTAATTGAGACACGGAGGCTCACTTGCTTTCCGTGGGAAAACGGATGGGCCCTGACTCCTGGAGCAGAGCACAGGATGCGGCGGTCAACGGAATTCAGCCTCGGCCGCTACCGCCTTACCGAGATGGAGGCTGAGAATGCCAGCTGGAGTCAGCCTGGATAAATGTCTTGACTGCGATGCCCAACGGGACACGTTGAGAAGTATAAAGTTTGTTAGCGGCATGCAAGACAGGTACGGCTTTCTCGTGGGCCTCATTGCTCCCACGGTCAGTTCCGTTGCCGGTCAGCTGAGGAAAGTTAGTTGCTCATGCCGAAGGGGACATGTCAGCTCTCCCTCAGTGCACTGCAGTTAGCATTCTGGGGCCCGACGGCTCCCGCAGACCCCCGGCAAGCGGTTGGTCTAATTTAAATGGCGATGCGATCGACTCAGCCTCAGAAGCGTAGCATGCCCAGACTAGATCCGCATACTGTTGAAGTATGAGCAGTCAGCTTTGCATGTAGCACTCGTCTGGCACGTGAAGAAAGGACGGATGGCTTCGCATCTGGCAGGGCGTATCATGTCACGGCAGATAATCATCCTACCGCTATTGTTACATATGATACAATGCAATATGGTTCTATTGTCGTGGCCTAAGCCTCAGCCTCTATCCCGAAGCTAGCCAGTGTACAACATGCCAGCGACGCTCGCAGACGTGAGGGTTGAAAGTACGCCGGCGAATAAGGCAGACAAGGCAACTCGGGACACATCTCCGGCGCGTCCGGGAGCAATTTGTGAAAGAACACCGATCTGAGTGCCCAGAGAACCAATGTTGCCGAAGCCCTGTGATATCTGGTCAGTTTCCTAGTTTGTGTAGAATTGAGACGCTGTCAAGATTGAACTTACGCAGCAGGCATAGGTTGCAATGAGCTTGGAGCGAGGTGACATGGAGATGTAAGGCTCGACCTTGCTCGACAGAGAGTTGAAAGCAACGTATTCGTTGGTGATGATCTTGATTCCAATGAGTTCTCCCACAGTGAGCAAGTCCTTCTTAGGCACACCCAGACACCAAGCGACGGGGTAAAAGACGTAGCCCAGAACAAGCTGAAGGGTCAATGGGGGATCATCGATGCCCAAGAACTTGCCGAACCAGCCGAGGATGCCGTTGATGAGGGCGACGAAGGAAATGATGCAGAGCAGAGTGGCGACAATCATGCCAGCCACCTTGATGCCGAACCAGGCTCCGTTGGCAAAGGCGTGGATGGCGTTGGCGGCCTTTTCTTCGTCATCCGGAACCGTGATGCTGCCGCGAGTGATGCTTTCCTCTGTCTCTGGGTAGCGGAGCTTCGACACTGCAATGCTTGCTGGAATAGACATGACGCATGACGAGACGAGGACTTGCGCGTCGAGCCCGAGACCGATGTAACCAACCAACACGGATCCCGCGATAGTCGCAAAGCCACAGGTCATAACCTGGTGGATCTCGGCCAGAGTAAGGTACGGCACGAAGGGCTTGATGAGCATTGCCGATTCACCTTGCCCGACAAAAGGGGTTGCCGTGGCCACTACGGCCTCGGCGCCTGAGACGCGAAGCGACCAGAAGAAGAAGACGGCAAACTTCTTGATGAACCATTGCAGGAAGCCGCAGTGATAGAGCAGTTGAACGAGCGAGATGAAGAAAATGATGGCCGGGATCACAGAAATGAGAAACCAGGTCAGAGCAGATACTTCACTCGACGTCAAGAACTCGAGGCCCTGCTTTGCGAAACCTAAGAGCGTCCGGGCCATCTCGGAGATGAAGGCAAAGATGTCGTAGCCGACGCCCGTCTTGAGCACGAATACGGCGATGATGAACTGCGTGAGCATCCCCCCAATGACAGTGTGCCAGGGGATCTTCCTCCAGTCGCGAGAAGTGAGTGTGAGAAGACCGATCATGAGAAGCAGGCCAAAGAGACTGATGGCGCGACTGGCACGAGTGTTCTCTCCTACTTCCTCCGGGACCATGGAACCGACCAGGAACACGCCAATGGTGAGAAGCGCAGCAAGAGGCTGGTGCAGCTTGCTGGGGATCATGTCGTACGCTCTGCCAACGGTGTGCTTCCAGGCGAAGCGCAGCGGTACCATGACGGCAGCGGCCGGGAGCCACAAGGTGACGATGCGTATGGTGATGGCGAGATAGACCAGGAAAGACTTCAACCAGCCCATCTTATCCCGCTGGAAGACAAGGCCAACGATCCACCATCTGTCCAGGATTTTTCGGTCAACCGATGCCACCAGACTAGCCACCAAGGGGGGGGGGGCATCTGAGAGCATGAGAGAGGTTCTCAACTTACGCTGTGAACAACATCCATACAAACACGTGGATCGGAAGCTTGAACTTCCTGTAGAACCGGGCCACTTTCGCTCCCTTGCCCTTGGCATCTCTCATCGAGTCGGTCTGGTTGGTGCCGACCTCCAAGTCGCTCGTGTCGACGACTTCTTCTCTGTCGCGTGACGACTTGCCCATCTCGTCGCCCTTGGACGGAAGAGAGCGAATAGGAGTATCCACATCTGCCTCGCCGCCGGGCCCGATCTCGTTCTCGGGCCCTCCTCCTCCTCCTCCTCCTCCTCCTCCGTGCTTCTCGGACTTTGTGTCGGTGCCAGACATGTCCTCGCCCGGCGCTGCTGCAGTAGTAGGACGCATGGTTCGCTTTTGGCTTGTGTGCCGTGCCGTCCACTACGCACGGGAATGGTGACGAAGTAGGGGGAGGTTTGAACAGGACGAGCTTTTCAGGGACTGGAGCCCCGTCCAAGAAAAAATTTGGCGAGTTGTGGAGAGAAATTAGCGGAGCCGGGAGGCGACGTCTTAACCGTGTGGTGATCCAGTAGGGGATGGGACGATGATGCTGGGAGGGGGGGAGGTCAGTGCGAGCTTTTGCTGCGCCCACCGGACGGATGTTCAATTGAGATTGATGAAGATGCTGGGACTGTACCGTAAGTCAATGAGCAAGATGGTAGGCAGGATGGGATGAGACAGGAAGCTTAATGCGGCCTGATAATGGGAGCTTCTCCGGATCCCCCAGCTTCGCGAATGATCGACGATGTTGCACTGTGGCGGGATGGCGGCGTGTTGCATATGCCCATCGCCTGACTGCGCGTTCGGGTTTGTCGAGTCGGCCCTTTCTCCGTGTTCCCACTTCGATCCCTTGGCTTTCTTGGGGTTTACTCGAGCGCCACCCAAACTCATTCTTGAGAACCGCGGCGACCTCCGTGGTGCAGTAATGTTCACCGGCTATCATACGGGCACTTTACCGACAAACAACACGTGGCACCGTGTCTAACCGGTGATTCTTC